TAGAGACAGTCCTTCCCATCTGGAGGCAAGAACACTGGACATTTATGGTCATGAGTGGAGAACATGTCTATCCAAAACTCACGATTGAAGCCAGTTAATTTATAGTATTTAGGGTTAGGAAGTGGTGAAGTTTTGTATGACCAATGAACTCATTTTCAACGCCTTTGGCTATATTAGAGTAAAGTATTGCTTGCTTTCTATCCCAAATGCCAGGTGTTACAATCTTTGAAAAATTCATTTTTCCTCGGAAGCATTGCATCATAATTGAAAACATTCTTAAAATCATCACTTGGTTCGGAGATTTGAAATCTTATACGTAATGGATTTTCTTTCTTTTTAGCGACTTCATTGAATGGTGAGAATACAATGAATTGACAGTCATGTGTTCCATCTTCATTTTCATTAAATTCATAATGAAAGTCTATAAGTTGTGGCTGACTACCTTCTTCCTTCAGTTGTGCAAGAAACTCACGTAAAGGCTGTAAAGTTTGTACTTCAATGTTGAACTTTTTCTCGAACATCTCATTAAATGAAATCATACATTGTTGCAATGTTGTATCGTCTTTAAAGTATTTGTATATGTGAATGTTTTGGGCGCTTAAAGACTGTTCGTCATTTTCTATCTCGACTTGAAGTATAAAGTCAACCTTTCTGAAAGCACGTGTTATATACATAGATGTTATGCCAATGTACTTCTCTTCATTTATGTTCACAATCCAGTCTGTTGGAAACTTAAACGTTTACTCTGTTCCCCTTTATTTTGACGTCAGGGTTTTTCACTACTGAACGCAACAGTTAAAGGTATTTGTCTATACATTTAATTCGGATAAAAATAAACCATTTACTCTTTCTTTGCTTCAGCTTCCTTTGCTTTTTGTTCTTCCTTTGCTTTTGCTTCTTCTCTAGCTTTTTTCGCCAGCAAACGTGGGTTCTTCTGTCTTCCAGCAGCTAATGCAGCTAGTTGTTTTTCACTAAGTTTTCTCTTTGGTCTCTCTGGCTTTTGTTCTTGTTTTTGTTCCTTCAGTTCGGATAAAATTTGCTCGCGAATTTCTTTCTTCAATGCTTCAACATCTATGACCCCTTGGGTCTTGTCCATATGACTTGTCTGAGTCATTTGACTGTAGATAAAAAACTAACTTAAAACTTTAACCGATGTAAAATGAGCTTGTCAAAATCAGAGCGAGAGTCTATTATATTAAATGACGCAAGAGGAATACAACATCCTTTCTATTACGTAAGTCAGAGTAAAGATGGTAAAATATACGTAAGAAAAAGAAAGGTACCATTAGCGAATGCAGAGAGCGACAACATTAAGGTGCATGGCAAGGGTGAAGTCCACGAAGCCCATATAAAACCTTCTGTTCAAACTGAGCCACCAAAAGAACAAGAAGAAAAGAAGCCAGATGTACTTTCAATAACGAACCAAGAGCTTATTGCAAAGTTCGTGAATTTCATTGAAAAAACAACCGAGTCAAAGAATCCTGACCCGCCAGTGAAAGAAGTTGAGACAAAAGAAATGTACAGTTCATTGAAAATGTCAAGAAACAACTTCCACCACGAATGCCAAGAAGAAGAGTGAGAATAATGAAGTAAATAGATATTTTTATCTGAAGTAAATACATGCAGAACGAACAGTTAAACGAATTTACTCCAGCAGAGCATATTCATCAGATTCGCTCATATTTCGATATCATAGACAATGCAGTTCAAATTGGTGACACTAATAGAAAATATTCTGACGCAAAGATTCCATCACAACCTGGAACTGCTAAAGATAACACATGGGTAACATTCAATCTCTCACCTCCTGGTGAAAATATGTTGGACCTTTACAATACATTCATTACGTATAAAATGGAAGGTCAATTTATTGTAGATAAAGAAATTGGTTCAGGTTCCAATAAAACAAACCCACCAGGATTTTGGATTGGTTTCGATGACGCTTTCTATGCAGTTGCTGGATATCAAATCCTTGCAAATGGTCGTATCGTATATTCTCAGACAACGCAAGAGAAGAAGCATATATAACTTCAAACTCACAAACTACCGAACAAATAAAGAAAGTAGATGTTTTTTCAAAGACTCGACATGAAGATGTATGGAGTCATTCGGGAACATGCAGAACAGGACAAATTGTTAGTGGTCCAATTACAGCAGGAAAATCATTTGATTTTAAGCTTCGTTTAAGAATTCCTGTTAGAAGATTCCTTCCATTAGAAGCTATTCGATTTATTCCAGCTTTTGCAGGAAACATTCAGCTTAAAGTAAAGTTCAGTAGCGACGCCTTACAATGCACATCTATATCTGTAAATGATATCATTGCTTTCAATCCAACTCTTAAAGTTGCATTTGCTTCAGATTCAAATCCACCGACAAATAAATTTGTTCCATGGAATGAACCATTCACTATGATAACGAAGGCAGTAGAAGCTAGTGGAACAGTTACTATTTACAACTGTAAACCAGCAACTATTTCGAACAAAGATGGATTTTAATGAATGTTTCATTCATCAAAGTCATTCTCTTTAGACCCTAACATTTATACAGAACTTGTAGAACATTATACAAACGAGGCTTTATGTTTTCCTGTTAAAGTTATGGATTGGATTCCTATGGACGGTTCATTCTCAAAGAAATACAGATAGTTCAAGTGCAACATTTACAGCAGCTTATACGCCTATTAATGTTAAAAGTATTTGGGCACTATTTAGAAAGAAAGACAACTATTATGTTAATTTTGAGAACCCTAAGTTTAAATATCTTCAGCTTTCCATGGGAGCTTATGGAAATATGCCTGCAGAACCTGAAAAATCATATGGACCTGTATTTTATGAAATGGTTGCGAACGCTTGCAATACAAACAATGATATGATAGGATTTAATGAAGATGTTATGAGGTCATTGGTGGATGATGGTAGTGTGGAACATAAATGGGATAGCTATGACAACACACATTTCTTATGTGGTTTTCCAACAGAAGTGGACTTTTGCTTCCAGCAAGGTCAAACATCTACTGCTCCAATAACATACAAATTGTCTGTTAAAGGACCTATTGAACTAGCAACTGAAAATGTACCAAAGCCACTTATTGGATTTATGAGGGATTGTTGCTTTGCAATACAAGTAAGACAGTCAGGCATACCAATAATAAGACTTGACGACTATAACTTAGCAACTGACGACAGTGAGGAATAAAGGATGAACGTTTATTTTTAAAGCTTATAAATGAGTTCTTCATCAAGCTCTCGTGAACCTTCACCATCTATGAAACAAACTTTACCAAACGATTATGGAGCACCTATTGAATATTTCTTACGAGCTGCACAATGGCAAAGAGCAGTCTCACCAAGGTTAGGTGTTCCACCAGCTCCTGTCAAAAATAGCATTTGGTCAAGTCCTTATATAAGATATGGTCTCCCACTAGGTTTGCTAGCTACAGCAGGAGCAGTTATGATGTTGAAAAGAAATAAAGCAAATGTTGTAAATAATACTGAAGTAGCTGAAGTTAAACAAACTCCAACGCCTTCGTCAAAACCAACGCCTTCACAAGCAAAACCTTCAATGACTCCTGAACCTATGGAAGTACAAACTCCTGTTCAAAAGTCAACTCCTAAACCGACTCCAACATTTAAACCAGAACCTACGCCTCAAATAAATCGTAAAACTCCTGCGTTTCCTTACTGAAAAAATAACGTTATTTTTATTTTATTTGAACATTTTTATTTGATTGAAATGACGACTAAAGTCACTGAAGCAATGAAACAAAAGTTTTTGGTAGAATACATTAAATCAGGAGCGGTTCCAGAAGGTTTTTACGTTCATACTATGAAGGATGGTAGAGTTCAGTTTAGAAAGATAAAGCAACCATTAGATAGAGAAGGAATTTTGAGAAAGATTAAACTTCATGAGGACAACATTGCTGAACTTAAGAAGAAGTTAGAAGAGTTGGAGAAAGGAAGAGAGTTATAAAGCAATGAATTCATGAGGTGAAAAAAGAGGTGAAAAAAGAGGTGAGATTTCACCACTTCACCTAAATTTATTTTTGGGCTATGTTTTCATACATGTGAGGGTGGTGATATCATTTATTTTTAAGTTTATTTTTATATAAATGACAGAACAAAAATATAACATATCTACTCAACAGGAATGAGACCCTTACTGACTATGTATTCGTTTAATGCTTGATGAAAACAATGGTACATATTATCGTATGGGTATACACAACGTCTGTTTCCATCGTCGTCGTATATGTAGAGCTCAAATCCAGTCCAACCTTCTTTTGTACAATATGTAGCTTTATTTAAGTATGCATTTATGTAGATAAGGCAATTTTCTTCATCGCTCCAGAAATAATTTTTGTTCTTTGTTGAAATAGTTTTCGTTCCTCTGCGACCATAAGGAATGTATGCAATGAACTTTGCGTCATAAGGGATTGTAATATATTCAGGGTTTCTTTCATCGTCAATGGGTCTGTCTTTGTTAAAATGCATGTTTCTCAGTTTTACTTGAGTTTTGAATAGTTCACGGAAACGTTCTGGGAAAGAATCATAGTAAATGTAGTCAGACATGTCTTTACAATGAAATAAAAAAGTTGGAAAAAAATAAAAATAAGGTTATTTTTTATTTAGTGAGGACGGTAGGGAATTTGTTAGTGAAGTCGTTTGTGAAAACGTTAGTGAAGTCGTTTATGTGTCAGATGGTTTTGTAAATATTTAAGGTTAAGTTGGTTTTATGGTTGTGTTGTAAAATATACGTTACCGGTTTCGTAAAGTGTCAAAACCGCTAAGTGGTGTACGGAGGCGCGCAGTGCCACAGTACACGACTTAGGGATACTAACTATACTCGCAAATACAAAGAATGAAGAGAACAATGAAAATGATCGAGTATGCAATAGAACAAAGAATTGAAGCACGCAGTCTGGTGCCTTGGTAACTTCTAAAGATCCCCACAAACAGTTAAGAATAAATACTTTTTTTCACTGGAAAAAAAATGATATTTTTTTATAAAGATAAGTATTTAATTACAGTAGTCAACAAGTGGCTTCTTTCTTTGTATGATGAGTTTGCAGTAATGAAGCGTTCGTGCCACATATCAGACTGCCTTCCCAACTGATCAACTCGAGATCTGAGATCAGAGATCTCTTCATCTTTGTAGTCGAGCTTGGTCTTGAGTAATGTTATGAACTCATTCTTCTGTTGTAGTTCCTCCGCCTGCTTTGTGATCTGCTGCTTTAGTTCCTCGAGAGCTACGTTTGACTCCTCCAGCTGCTTCAAATACTTGTGGCTGGTCTTGATTAAACGTAGAACTCGAGGAGTAGCTTGTGGACCCTCCCGAAATGCAAGGTTAAGATTTTAGCAGCGGACTAACTTTGACGTGTACATATATAATTGTTATACTGAGTACTTTCTATCTTGTGTTACTTATTTGAGTCTTAAGGCCTTTGTAGCCATTTTCTACCATAGAACTAGATATTTGGTCTCTTCATTAAATATATATAACTGTAAACTGCTTTAAATTCATTATCTTATTTAGATTAAAATTATATTTATATAAGATTTTCATGTTATTATTTCATCTTTATTATTTTTTTATTCCTTTGAAAAAGTGACACTGGATAGTTTTGTCCCTTTCTCGAGAATAGAAAAAGATTGGATTTTAACTTTCAAACATTTATATAGTTTTGTATATGGAAGCCTTTAAATACAATAATGATTATGGAGTTGTATTGCGAGGAAGAGGGATTCAAAGAAATTGACGAAGTTCCAGAATTTATTCAACAATTTCTTTAATCAATTTAAACAAAAACTATACCGAAACTTATCTTACCATCCAAATCAATCACAATTACATACGGAATAAACATTTAATCTTTTACCATTAAAATTATATTTATACGTTATTTAATTTTTTACGTCTAAGTTGAATAGGATAATAGCCGAAGAATAAAGTAACTTATAGTTTACAAGCTAAGGAACAAATCAGCATTGAAACTAAAAAATGCTGAAATATTATAATAAAATTGAAAAAATACTGTGATAGAATACCTAGTTTATACTAGATACTATTATAATATGAATTCATTTGTATTGAATATCGATAATAAAAATCGATGAAATATTAAATGAGAATAAATTAATAATGAGATTATAAATTAGAATTATTTCTCTTTTATTAAAATAAAAAACTTAGTTCTATTTTAAATTCGATAAAGAAGTACGAAAAAGTTGTATTATACGTATGATGTTGCCCGATGTTTGGTAACACTATTGTAGAATATAGCATATATGATAGAAAAGCAATATGCTTAATATCGAGTAATTTCAATTTTTTTCGAAGAATTATTCAAATAACGTTTTTTTTTAAAATGAAAAGATAAGCATACCATTATGCAGTAGTTTGCGCACAGTATACTATGCTGATGAAAGTTGGTCTCTAATTCGAAACTTGAGTCTGTCAAATTGACGTTCAAGTATTAAAAAGTTGTATTATATACGTATGATTTTGCCCGATGTTGGTAAACACTATTGTAGAATATAAGCATATATGATAGAAAAGCAATATTGCTTAATATCGAGTAATTCTAATTTTTTTACGAAATTATTCAAATACGTTATTTTTTAAATGAAAAATAAAGCATACCATTATGCAGTAGTTTGCGCACATATACTATTGGCTGATGAAAGTTGGTCTCTAATTCGAAACTTGAGTCTGTCAAATGAGCTTCAAGTATTAAAAAGTTGTATTATACGTATGATGTTGCCCGATGTTTGTAAACACTATTGTAGAATATAAGCATATATGATAGAAAAGCAATATGCTTAATATCGAAGTAATTCTAATTTTTTACGAAATTATTCAAATACGTTATTTTTAAAATGAAAGATAAGCATACCATTATGCAGTAGTTTGCGCACATATACTTTATGCTGATGAAAGTTGGTCTCTAATTCGAAACTTGAGTCTGTCAAATTGACGTTCCATTTTATTTTTAATCGATATTCAATACAATGAATTCATATTATAATAGTATCTAGTATAACTAGGTATTCTATCACAGTATTTCTTCAATTTATTATAATATTTCAGCATTTTTTAGTTTCAATGCTGATTTGTTCCTTAGCTTTGTAAACTATAGTTACTTTATAATCTTCGGCTATTATCCTATTCAACTTAGACGTAAAAAAATTAAATAACGTATAAATATATATTTTAATGGTAAAAGATTAAATGTTTATTCCGTATGTAATGTGATTTGATTTGGATGGTAAGATAAGTTTCGGTATATAGTTTTTGTTAATTGATTAAGAATTGTTTGAATAAAAATTCTGGAACTTCGTCAATTTCTTTGATTCCTTCTTGTGAAGCGTTGAAATTTCTTATTGACTCTCTTTTTATAACTTTTGAAGAAACCGTAAAAAATTGTGAAACATGCTTTTTAATTAAAAAACAATTTGATGAAAGCCATAAATTAATTTTAAAATTGAAATAAATTTTTGAAATCTATGATATTGAATAAAAAAATTTATAGTGTAGATATTGATATAGATATAGATGTAATTTAATATGATATTTTGATAAAATTTTTTTTTATCAAAACATACTGATAATAGGTTGACAATGTAATAGATATTTGCCTTGTAAATATATTTGGTCGGCAAAATAACCTAATACTCTTATTTTTAGTTCACTTCCACCATTTCGTCTTGAGTGGGGGACAAACTCGCCCATTGTCACTTTTCATTAACCTTAAACTTGTAATTTTCATTATTTTTTAATTAACCTTATTTCTTTCCCAATTCCTGATTTATTTAATTCACTTACTATTAAAAGTCACATTTTAATAAAAAATAATAATTTATTTATAGCATTTTTTACTATATTGTAATAAAATAATTATAATAAATTAAATGTTTATTAAATCAAATGTTTTCTTTGCAATAATATTTTTAATGTTGAGTAAACAATGTTGGGATCAAGTGTATCATTTTTCAACCTTTCTGAACAGCTTCAAGCATACTGATGCATTCGACTTTTTTAAATTGTGTCATTTCTTCGAAATCTCTTGTGACTTTTTTGATAACTTTAACACTTCTCTCTGAATCCAGACTTTAATTTGCAACTTAATCAGGAATGAAGGAACAAACTGGAATATAACTCGATGACAAGTTTCATCGAGTCGAAGATTGGTTGTACACCACTTGTGAGTGCCGGATACCATTGTGTCAAATTTTTTCTGAAATTAACTTAAAAGTACTAAGTAAGATTCATGAGATATAGACAAATATGTTTTAAACCAACTTATATTTTGTTGTACACCACTTGTATGTGCCGGATACCATTGTGTCAAATTTTTCTGAAATTAACTTTAAAAAGTACTAAGTAAGATCATGAGATATAGCAATATATGTTTAAACCAACTTATATTTTGGTTGTACACCACTTGTATGTTGCCGGATACCATTGTGTCAAATTTTTTCTGAAATTAACTTTAAAAGTACTAAGTAAGATCATGAGATATAGCAATATATGTTTAAACTAACTTATATTTTGGTTGTACACCACTTGTATGTGGCCGGATACCATTGTGTCAATTTTTTTTCTGAAATTAACTTTAAAAGTACTAAGTAAGATCATGAGATATAGCAATATATGTTTAAACCAACTTATATTTTGGTTGTACACCACTTGTATGTGCCGGATACCATTGTGTCAAAATTTTTTCTGAAATTAACTTTAAAAGTACTAAGTAAGATCATGAGATATAGCAATATATGTTAAAACTAACTTATATTTTGGTTGTACACCACTTGTATGTGCCGGATACCATTGTGTCAAATTTTTTTCTGAAATTAACTTTAAAAGTACTAAGTAAGATCATGAGATATAGCAATATATGTTTAAACCAACTTATATTTTGGTTGTTACACCACTTGTATGTGCCGGATACCATTGGTGTCAAATTTTTTCTGAAATTAACTTTAAAAGTAACTAAGTAAGATCATTTATTTTTGCAAAATATAATGCCAATATGGTTTCTTTTTGATTTTATCATTTATAAGCAAATCAGATTTACCCAAAAACTCCACTCCATAAGCGTTCATTTGCTAAAATTAAAAAGTGACAATGGGCTATGTCTGTCCCTTTCTCATTCAAATCACATCAAAAACAAAAACACATAAAAAATATTTTATTATACTCATTCGAAATTTAAAAATAAAAATTTATATATATTAATTTCATTAAATCAAGGATAAAAATCTCACCGGGAAAAATAACCTCAGTGTGATAAATTTATCACCGGAAAAATTTTACCAATGAAAAAACCAGAATTTTCGAAAAAGTGACACCAACTATTAAAGTGTTATTTTATTACTAGATTATTTACAAATTATAAGATAATATCATTAAACCGAATATATTTTTAATATAAATAAAAACTTTTTTATACAAAAAATTACAATCAATCGATAAAATTAATAAAACATTTATTTCCAAAAAGATTAAGTAATAGGTGGGATCCTGCATATAATATAATTTATGTCATTAAAGTTTACAAATTTTAGATGGACCACAGTGAGAAATGTGAGTGGTTAATTTAAAGGTGGTCTGATAAAGAAATCGAGGCTTACTCAACACAGCATGAAGCAGTTTTCTAATACACAATCTTACTAGTCGTGTTTTCGGTCGCCAGCGCTCTCATAGGGGTGCTGATTTCAAAAACCACCTACTTCAAATTATTCAACAATACTCAATGCAGCATGAGCAGCTACTTACTGCTGTATCTTACTGGTAGTGTTCTTCGCTTCTTACTATCAACTCTAAAACTAGTTTGATGGTATTAATATTCATATATAAATATATACATATAGTATACATAATAAATTATAGCATATCATGGAAATATATCATATTATACGAATGCCATTACCAATATAACATTTACGAATAGCGTCTACTATTACATCAGTAAATGCACATCCATTATATATCATAATATAAATATATACATATATAAAATAATACATATAAAATAGTCATAGCAGTATATAAATAGCTAGTAGCATTAAAAATCGTGCATTCACTCCTGAGCCTCAGTATTAACTATACACTTGTACATTGGACATCGTCTACTGGCAAAATATGCATGTATCTGTTTACGATCAGTAATTATCTGTTATCATATACAGAATAAAACTCTTGCAATTTGAGTATATTATTATTTTAATTTTTTAATCAATATATAATATATGATATAATATATAGTCGAATACTAAAGTAACTTACTGAAGTTAGAATTAGACGAGGTTAAAGTTTAGAATAATGTGGGAATTCAGTATAACAATTTCGCTGTAAAGGCGCGCAGATTACTTGCACTTGTCTTGATCAAATGACATCATGTACATCGCATGCACACAAATCCGCTATTTTATAACAGTTCAAAAACTAGAGGTGCAATAGGTTTTCTTTTGCTATCCAAAGTATTTTTGCTTTCTCGTATGAAGTATAGAGAACAATGCATAATACTTTGACCCTATCTTCATCTCTGACAGGTATGTTTTATAAACTATATGTCTATGATTTTAATCAATAGATGTACTTTTTAATTTGAAGTGAATTCAAAGAGCAACTATTAGATGATTTTCGAATTACAAAGTGATAAAAATGTGGTCAGACAGAAGTTTCCCGTCTGTTTTGCGAAGGGAATTGTGGCTATGATTGTACTGGATTCATGAATAGTACGATCATAGCCAACAATTCCTTATAACAGTAAGTCAAAAACTTGGGTGCAGATCAGTCTGATTGCACCCGTAAGTTTTTGAACTTTTCTCGAGGGAAATGAAAGGTAAGAGGTACTCCATTATTGAAATATTACCCTTACCTTCAGTTTCCTCTTGAACGCTTTCTGAATGTTATCCTCATTCGGCAGTCTCCCGGTACTGATCTAGATTGCTTTCAAGATGTAGCTGATGATCGAATGATACGCACACACTCAACTCCACTGTCGCGTTATACATCTTTCGACATGAGTTGCTGTCTATGACGTGATCCTGACCTAGGTTCTTCCGAAGCTCCTACGACACGAGTATGAGTAGAAGGACATGCCTGGACCCTCCGTATGCCACTGGCGCATCACACGCAGAGCAATGGCGTAACTTTACCTCATCCTTTACATCGGAATGAATTTTAAAACTTTCATAAGTCCCTGTTTGAAGGATCATTAAAAACTCACAAAATTATTATTTTATAATATAAATTCTTAGATTAATACATTCCGATATGTTAAAGTTGTCAAAAATGGAAGTGAACCGAATTTTCATAGCATTACATATACTATATATAACATATATAAATATATACATAATAGAATGTATAAATAATATACATACTATATAAATAATATACATATATAAATATATAGATATATAATAATATAGATATATAAATATATAGATATTAAAATATATAATATATAATATATACATATATAAAATAATAGATATATAAATATATGATATATAAATATATAACATATTATATATAGAATATATTAAAATAACAAAATACAATCAAAAAATAGTGTTTGAAATTTTAAGTTTTAAGTGTCACTTTTTTTCGTAAATTCTTAGCCAAAAACTCATTTCTTTAAAATCAAGGTTAAAAATCTCACCGGAAAAAATCAACCTCAAGTGTGATAATTATCAGGCCGAAAAATTTACAATAAGGTTAATACGAAAATATCGAAAAATCAACATTTAAGGTTTAATATTAAGAGTATGCACTTTTGTCCAGCTACTCAAAAATATCATTTTGCTTTTCAATTCGAACATAAAATCTAAATATTTTTAATTAATATCTGATTTACAGGCAATTATTATCCATTTATTAAAATTCTGACAAATTAAAATGGACCAAAACCATCAGAAATAAGTGTCAACCGTCGTTTTTGTTCACAAGAGAGATCGAGGTGGAGTCAACTATTTTTTCATGCACAACAATTTTTAATGGAAGCGAACAAACAAAGCTTCCTGCTAGGCTGTTGCCAATCCAGAAGCCAGAGGGTGACTGAAGAAACAGTCCTCTGGCGACGAAGGAAATATTTGATGGGTGGCGAGAGTCCGAAGGACCGAGGATCAAGATGCCCAGATCTCGATTCAACAAGCAAATCGGCAAAGGAAAACGGGGCCGTCGCACAAAGC